GATCCCCATCCCCAGTCATATCGCTTTGTACAGGCTTTCCCTTTATATAGGATTTTGTATTGGGATGGGGGTGGTCCTAATTTGTGTTGACTTGGCAGAAACAGTTTTTTTGTATGTGAGCTATCGCATAGAGTGCAAAAACGCGAGTGTTAGCGCATACCTGATCTTTCCCAGCGTGTTTTGTAACTAGCATCGAAACCGCACCTTAAAATAATCAATATTGACCGAGTTATGAGAACTTTCAAGGTGGTCCTATCATTTTGGCGCGCACTGTACCAAAAGCATGGTGATACAGTATCTCAAAAATTATCACGAAGCAAAAAGGGCACTTCGAAATCACTCCTATAGTGGCGCCGTACCTTAAGTAGTTTCTAGGCGTGATACAGACGATCCTCTCCGTAGTGATAGCCACGGGAGACCACTTTTTATCACAATCCAGAGGCATCACTATCTAAATCTGTACAAAATGACGGTACAATATCGTTTCATGGTACCAGTGTAGTGAAAATGCGAGCTTGTATTGCACTCGATACGTGGTTAAAACCCTACACCTTTCAACTTCAAAATGGCAAAAAGAAAATTCAATACGTCAAAATGTAAAATCAAAACGACAATAATTTGTAAACCGATACTTAGACCTGTTTGTAATAGTGGGATATATAGAAATACAGAGTGCCGAATATCTATTGGCTGACAGTGAGCTGTATCAGCCAATCGTGCTCGTATAAGATTGTGAGACGGTCCTGTCTCTATTCGTGACAGTTTGAACTTACGTTTTGTCATTTTGAACTAGCAATTTGCCATTTTGAAGTTGAAAAGGTATCGATAAAAGTATTTGTTCTGCATAATATTTACAACTATATGGCACGAAGCGTGACGATACGCTATTCACTATTCAAATGGAACTGGGAGCACTGCACAGGCAGCTACAACGCGACATCTAGTCTAGCACCGTTGCTGATGTGATAAATACACGTTCCAGAATCACAAACATGTCAAACTTAATAATATGTGCGCGAACCCAGGATCTGAGTCGATTCACGTGTGTGGTGGAGCCCGGCATGCTTTACGAAATGGACATTCACATAGTTAACTGTCTCTGGATAGTGATAAAGCCTAATCTCGTATCACGAGGATGTTTTGACTTGAATTTGTATACCATTGGTCATCGGGAGAGCCTCTATTAGTGCTAATCAGAGGGTATCCCTATTCGAAATATCACTCCAAAGAGGATTATCTGTACAGCTTTCGTGTTCGAAGACTGCTATATCTATCCATGCATAACATATAAAATGCATATAGCAGCGCGCACTCGGCGTAATTGGCATGCAGTGTACGGTGAGTACAGTATTAATACATGCATCACCGTACGCGCGATGGAGCCCGTGCTGCTCATATGCCGCATATGATACTGTACTAGCCGAGCGCCGCCGCTACGCGGCGGATAGAATTTATTAAATTGTTGTTAGTTGCTATGCACCCGTTCCGCTCGCCTCGTCGGCTCGCTGCACTACTCGCTCTGTTAGGTTAATAAATACAGAGGCCGGGGCGGGTCCTGCGGCCCCGCAATATCGTATTGGGGGGTCGCCTTCGCTGCGCTCGGCAGCCTAGGTACGATTATGTGGACCACCCTAATTTAGTCGCCATGCGTGACACACGGACTGACAGACATCTCTCTCTTAGTTGTTGTAGATACGTACTGTATGCTGCATATGATACTGTATGCGTTGTCTTGATAGCTGGTGCACTGATCGCGGCTGCACAAGCGATCGCTTGCACGGAGAGTCCCGAGAAGGCGGATAAACGAAGGGGCCCGTTTCAGCTGAGCGCTTCTGCCTCGAGCGAATGCTCGCCCGTTTAATCGGTGCGAGACCTCCCAGGTTGGCGAGTCACGTAGCGCACGTGCGCAAAAGTTGGTTGTCGTGAGTCGAGTCAGTCGAGGCTCGGCGCCTTCAAAATGCATGTACATGTACTGTAGTCGCTCGTGTACAGGGCTGTGTTGGCTGGCGTCAAGCAGCGACTGCGCGCGTGGGCGCGGCTACCGAGATGCCGAGACTCGCAATCGAGAAAGCGTCTTCCGGTGCCCTACATACCATCTGTTGGTAGGTCGATCTTTGATGATTAGATTTGATCCGGCTCCATTCGGCAACAGCTTTTGGCGACAAGCCCATCACGATGCGGATGCTCTGCGAGATGGGGCCAATGTGACGGGCTCCGAAGTAATGGAGCCCCACCATTTTGCCATGTGAACGAACGACTGGCCCCATAGCGTCGGACACCACCTCGTTCGCCGTGCTGCTGCGCTCGGCGGCTTGACTGCCTGTCACCTCCGCCGGTTTAACGACGTGTACGTGTCGGAAATTGGACGGGGCACTGATGCATTGCGCGATCGCTTTCGCTGGTCTACGTCGGCGCAGAGACGGCCGCGCGCCTGCAGACCGGTTGCATTCATGCTTGCCGGACCGGCATTGCCGGTGCGACATACAACGACGGGGAATTCAAGGGGTTGTAGACGGACCGCGGCGCGCGTTGTCTTTCAACCAATTTTGCGCAAACCAAAGGGAAAATGCTGGCTGTTGCGCCCGCTCTCCAGTCAGAGCACCGACACGCCCGCCGGTGCGGCTCCGGCAGAGCTCATTGTCCAATTTGCCGTCCCAAGCGACAACTCCTACCATGGCGGCTCCCTCTTCTACGTCGGGGCGCTCCCCCCTCTTCACGCTCGAGGACTCCAAGATCGCGTTCAACATCTTCTGCTGCATCTGCGGTATCGGGTCGCTCGGCATGCCCTCCAACTACGCACGCGCCGGCTGGGGCTACGCCACCGTCGCCCTGCTGTTCATGGCCTTCGCCAACATTTACGCCACGGTGCTGCTGTCCAAGGTGCTGATGGTGGCTCCGGCTTCGGTGAAGACTTACGGTGACCTCGGTGAATGGGTTGCCGGCAAGTGGGGCCGTTTCTTCGTCGTGGTCTCCCACATGGGCGTGTGCCTGCTCGCCCCGTGCGCGTTCCTCGTGCTGGGCGGCACGCTGCTTGACGTGCTGTTCCCCGACTCGTTCAGCCAGACTGTTTGGATCATCTTCATGGCTGCGCTCGTCATCCCGGTGGCGCTCATCCCGACGCTGAAGGAGAGTGCTGGTATGGCCGTGGCTGGGTGCCTTGGCACGATCATCGCTGATGTCATTGGCGTTGCGATTCTCCTGTACGAGGAGCGCGGCCACCCCACGCCGCCCACGCCCGATGTGACTCTCCACCAGGTTCTCACCACCTTCGGCAACCTGTCGCTGGCCTACGCTGCTGCCATCGTGATCCCCGACCTCCAGCGTCAGCACTCGCAGCCCGAACGCATGCCGCGCGTCATCATCGTCAGTCTTGGCCTCGCCTCGGCCTTTTTCCTCGCCATCGCCATCATCGGCTACGTCGCCGGTGGATGCCAGCTTTCGGGCAACCTGCTCTTCTCCATCGTCAACATCTCGGACCCGTACAGCACCACGACCCTGGGCTTCACTGCTAACCGTGGCGCGGTGGTCATGTCGTACCTCTTCATGCAGCTACACCTGTCGATTGCCTTCTCGACGATCCTGCACCCGGCGTTCTTCATGGCGGAGCGTCTCGTGCTCGGCATGCACAAGACGGAACCCCTCGCCATTGACAACGAGGAGCGCGAGGTCGAGATTGAGGAAAAAATGTCGTACCTTGCTGCGTCTACGCCAGCGCCTGCCGTCCCCGACCTCGAGAGCAACGCCCACGAGCAGCGTGTGTCGGTCACGAGGAGCGAGGAAGACCTGTCGGAGTACAAGGGCGGTGTGAACGTGATTCGATATGTCCTGGTTCGTATCGCCTTGATTGCGATCCTGGCGGTGGCCTCGATTCTGGTGAAGGACCACTTCCTCGACTTGGTGGACTTCACTGGCGCCACTGCCATCACGGTCTGCAGCCTGATCCTGCCGCTGATCTTCTACGTGAAGGTGTTCTGGAGAAAGATCCCGGTGTGGGAGAAGACCATTTGCATCACGATTGCCACCGTCTGCGGTGTTGTGGGCTGCTACGTGATGATCTACGCTGGCAAGAACCTGTTCAACCCGGACGAAGGCGGCGCCACGTTCCCGTACTGCTCGGCTGAGTACCAGGACGAGCCATACTACGTAAGGAATAGCACGGCGTCGAACTGAATCCAGCATCTAGTCGCATGACCTATTAGTTCCCAAAATGCGTTCGTATGAATATATATTCCACATTGCATTTGACTCCCAAAGCACTACTACTACTGCTTCTGCTCGGAAAAGATGGAGATTTAACGTATGATACCAAATACTACTACGTAGTACTATGCGGTATACTATTCTTGTAGAGTGTCCTCCTTAACCGAGTAGGGCCCTGTACCGGTACACTGGAAACGGTATTTAGTATCACTCGTACTATTTTGTGTGAGGTTGATTTTTCCATCCTCACCGCAATTGGTGTGAGTGTGATAAATTACACACTAATACTATTTAGTGTGAGGAACAATTATTAAATAGTCACACTCATACTAATACCCACCTCACAAAACATAATGACAGACAACTTGATCGGAATACAACAACCTGCGTTGTACATTCTGTTGTAAAGAGCATAATAAGCAGTTGTGAGAAGTTCCGTGCTCAAAATCGAACGGCCCGCGTTTAGGGTGCGATATTGAAAGTGCAAGATTACATTCCACACAGGGGCATATTAGTTATTGTGACGGACCACCACGATGAGTAATGAATAATCTGGCTTGTACATTGTAATTCTCCTTATCCATACAAGCTAGTGTCGCAAAGAATTTGTGGTACTTCGAAGCGTGCGACCTGGGGTGCAAATATAAAGTTGGATACATCTTCCGCTCTAAATCCGACATCAATCTATTTTTTACTTGCGATTCTCCACCAAAGCCCAAAGTCTTGCCATTGTCAAAATCGATGACAAAGTGTGTTTCATCAATGTTCTCAATCACGTTTTCGTCGTATTTGCCACTTTCGAACCCCCTTTTAAGCTCACCCAGGTGTACCGCCACGCTCTTTTCGATCTCTGCAGTCTTTTCCGGACTTAGCTGGCGTTTCCCGGATTGCGCTCGAAGTATGATGTTGTGGGTTTCCATGAACGACTGCACCCAGCGCGTGTTAATCTTCTTTTCCAGCAATACGCCATTCGCGTCCGCCTTTGGGGCATCCGGTCGGCGCAGCATACGCAACGCCAACTGACGTAACAGTCCAGAATCGAACTTAAGTCCGATCTTACGAAGGCGGTCAAGCTCGCTGCAAAGCCGAGGATATATCCAATCCACCCACGCACTTCTTCGCCGGCCACGTCCTTTTACAGCTTTAGTGTTGACTCGCTTCCTTCCGGTATCCCTGCGAGTCGAGATACTAACCGCGCCACGTTCGCAAAATGTCTCCCGCTTTTTCCACCAATTGATGGCCTTGTTCAAATTCGCATTGCGGGTGGCTGAGATGAAAACATCGGGAATCTCGTCAACAACACGGGCAAACATGTTCTTCTTTCCTTTCTTCCTCATGCAGCTTTCCAACCATGCAATCACGCGCCGGCGCTGTTGGATTGTGCTGACATGCTGAGTAGAGCGGCCTGATTCGGTTTCCGGGACCTCAGAAACCTCGGTGTCATTATGGGCAAGTGGAGGTTCGTCCCCATCCTCTGATTTCGTCTCCTCATTGAATGATGCAAGATCAATGCTATGATGTTGCGGACACTCAGTAGCACCCCCTTTGTCGGCAACCTTGCCGCGCTCTTTCTGGAGAGACAGTGCTGCCACGATCGGAGATGCTGATGGCGGCTCCTGCTCCTTGGTTTGGCAGGCCGGGTACATGATGAACTGACCAAAACCTTCGGCTCCAACGGCAGTGCCGCAAAACGGATGCATGTGCACAAAGCACGAAGGGCAGCGATGTATTGGTCCGGCGTCGTCACCACACCCTCCACATGGCGCCAAAAGGCCCGTGTTAGCGCTCATAATGGCGACGGCGTGCTGTTCGCGCGGAAGTCGGGATGTGAGAGAACGTGAGGGAGGTGCGGTATAGCTAAATATAGTATGAAAAAGGTGATACTAATTATGAACTCACACTAATTATGAAGTTCCTGGTGGCATGTTCACCATAATTAGTGTCACCAAATGGAAGTGATACCATTTACGAACTCATACTATTTTTTCACACACACTAAATACCGTTTCCAGTGACAGTACTTCGATTGTAGAAGTACTATTACTGTAGTTCATTTCCCGGGGTACCTAGTAGACGCGGACTCTACTAAGTACTTAGTATTGTACCTTTCACTTCTTTTGGCAAATCGGACTTTGGAAAGTGCTCGCTTAGAGAGAGGGCTAGGTTATTACGCCTGTTTTGACGGTGATTGGCACCACGAATTACCCTCGTACTCAAAATAACATCAAATTTTACCCAGTCATAGCGGAATTCTCAAATTTCCTCCAATTATACAGATTCATGCTACACTCTTGTGAAGGATCTACGGAGCTACCGTCTTCCCTCGTACTAGATGCCTAGGCGTTGTATTCGAGGTTGGTCCACAATCCCAAATCTTATCTCACCCTCGAATTGAAGCTATAGCAAAATAGAACGCCTACCCAATGTAGCACATGTTGTAAATGGCATATGATGACCGAACTCCTTGTTACCAACAATTCTGCTGTCAGTTGGACGAGCCAGCGCCTTTGTGCCGACTGCCAACCATTCGTGCGGAAGTCGGCCTCTCGTTTCGTCGTATCACTGTACAATCGCCCTCCAGCGACACAATAGCCCCCGCTAAGAATGTCAGCCAAGAAGAAGCGTAATAGCTACAGTATCGGATTCAAGCGCAGTGTTGCTGGAGAGTACAAGAAATGTGTCAACGGCTTTGGGTTTGTCGCCCTTGCCGCAAAACACAAGATACCCTCGTCATCGATAGTTCAGAAGTGGGTTGAGCAGTTGGGCGCCATGAAAGACGTTGCGAAGGACAGACAGCGATCAACGCGGACGACGCGTCGACTGCCTGGTGCGGATTACAAGCCTGAATACCAGCAGCTCGAAGTACAGCTTCATGAGTGGGTCGAGGGGCGAAACAGAAAGGGACGGCGGGTCTAGGACAAGTATGTCCAGCTACTAGCTCTCAACATCGCTCGTGACTTTGAAGAGCAGCAATATCAGCGTTTCAAGGCTTCAACGGGTTGACTGGACAAGTTTACGACGCGCTACAACCTGATGTTGAGACGTCAGACGACTACCAGAACATTACCTGCTGATGCCAAGAGTGTGTGCGAGGAGTTCATTCAGAAAGCTCAGTCTCTGATTGAGCAGCATCACATCGATCCATGCAACATAATAAACATTGACCAGGTCCCAAGATATTTTGAAACGGAACCTAATTCGACGATCGCAACTCGCGGGGCCAGGGAGGTAATTTTACGGAAGGGGGGAGCAGCCACAAACGCTTTACAGCAACGTTCGCGATTACTGGAGACAGTAAATTCTTAAAGCCCCATGTGCTGTTCTCCAAGCTAAAAAATAGACCAAAACTTGGAGCTATTTCGAAGGACATCATGATTGATGTTAACCCAACAGGGATGTGGAACGATCACATATTGCTGGAGCATGCAGAACATGTAATTTGCGGTCGAGCGGAGACTCGATTTTATCGACAGCCAGTGCTTTACATCATTGATTCGTATGGATTCGTGTTATTGGTACCGCCGAACATGACAAATCTACCCCAACCGCTCGATGTGGCTCTAAACAGGAGCTTTCAAGCTTTCTACAACGACCGATTCAATGAGTATATCGACAAAGCGCTGATCGATCCAACTTTGCAGACAAAGCAGGGTAACCCCAAGGTTCCTCACTACCGAACGCTATCTCAACAGGTTCTGGACTGGATTGAGATGAAGGACACCACCGACATCAAAAAAGCATTTCGGGTTTGTGGCCTTGTTAAACGACAGTCATTTGATGTGGAAGACCTCCATCCCCCGCATCGCGAGCTGTTGGAGGCGAGTATTGATTTGGATGAATGACGCCGCAGATACAAGGCTCTGCTTGACGAAGAAGCTGATCTAGAAGAGGTTTTGCATGGACCTACCTGAGTGGTATCTACCGAAGGAGACTATATCAAGCCTTCATCGTTGCCTCCGTTTCAGCCTCGCACCCTCCATCGCCGACTTCATGGCTGGACTTGAATAATTGACGGGCTTACTTGACCACGACTACATTGAGTCGATCAGAAACGGGACTGCTAAATGGGGTGAGTTGGAGCTTTTTTGCAGCATCCAGATTGCACAGATGCAGCATTGAAGTGAAAACTTTGAACGACAACTGCAAAGTGATTTCCGAGTTCACCTACACTGTTCCTGAGGCAACTGGGAAGATATGCCTTGCTCGACTGGGCCCTCAGTTTACGTTGGACGTAGCAGGAATGCGAATATAGCTTAGAGGCCACGACCAACCTTCTTTTTTTTTAGATTTACTTCAATACAACGCCTACCTTTTGCATCCTTCAGAGTTTCGTAGTTTCACTTGAATAGAACGCCTAGGTTTTTTATTCAAATAGAACGCCTAGGCGTCAAGACGGTAGTCACAAGCTCGGGAAAAGCTTGAATGGCCGACACTCGCCCGGCCATTTTAGGTTTTCGTCGCTACAGAAGAGTTAAAGATGACCTACTCAATTGACATGCGTTGGAGAGGGATCGTGCTCATGTACGTATATTCCATAGACACAGCGACAGTAGCTAGTGTTCTAGGTCTATCGGTGCGTAGTTTACGCCGCTGGTACCGTCGCTTTCGTACGACAGGAAACGTACTGAAGAATTAACCAAGGACCAAGACGTCAAGATGGCCAAGCGAGGTGTGTGCATTTGTACGATCGTATGTACAAAACCACCCTTGCTTCTACTTCGAGGAGCTGTGCCCCGAGCTGCGAGCTAACTTCCGAGACACGATCAGCCTGTCGGACTCAACTATCTGCTGAGCACTTCGCTTCGACCTCAACCTAACCAGGAAGGTGCTCACAAAGCGGGCACGAGAATGTGTGCCTAGTGAGCGACGTGAGTATGTGGCTCGGCTTCTGCCCTTCTATAGTGGCCCCGACCAGTTCGTCTTCATTGACGAAACGTCCAAGGATGGAAGGTATATTTCATACTTGAAGTTTTATTACTGGGAATTACTGACCTAACTAAATTGATGCTTATCTTAATACTCGCTAGATCTCTTCTTCGTCGGTACGGCTGGTCAACCCGGAATACCCCTGCCCAAGTGACCCTACCGTTCAGTAGGGGAAAATCTCCGCCCCCCTCCCCCGCAATACTAAATATCTAAGCGCCAAAGTACTTTTGAGTGTACTACCAGCAGCCAACCGGCGATAGACATTATCAGCTGCTTTAGGTAAGACACTCGCGCGTTGGCACGCGCCTGCGGACTTAGCGACGGCACTTCGGGGGGGCCCGCCCCTCTCTCGCTTTGCTCGGGGAGCGCCGCTGCGCGGCCTGCCCCACCCCCTCGTGCCTTACGCTAAGTACTCGGCTTCGGCCAGGCGCGGTGTCTGGATTAGATATTAACTCCTACTTAGACATACCTCATCCGGCCCACGCACCGACCATTGCAGACCTCCGCTTCGCTTCGGTTGCAAACGGTCTCTCTGAGGCCTCTTAGTGAATTAGCTAGGTGCATCATCAATTATCATCAAGGTGCCATCATTTGGCGAAAATGGTCATCGTTTGTCTACATTTAACGAAAATGTGCCATCATTTGGCAAAAGTCTGTTGCGTGGTCGTAACGTGTAACTCGGTTTACCTTTCTGGTACTACTGAATTGTGAGTACACTTCACTGACTTCCGAGTAATGCCACAAAAATCTCATTTGTGACTTAGGAAAGATATCACACCCGGCATCGCCACCTTAGACGAGACCGTAGAAAGACACAATATGCACGTATCTGAGGAAGCAACGCATTGAGCCATTTATGCGGACTTGACCAACTAATAGAGAATTCGGGCGATCTCAGAAAACTAAAGAATAATTATTCTAAAGGTTTGTAGCACGTTATTTGAGCTCGTAGATGACATCCCAACATGCAACGCCTTCAGAGTGGAGTCAGTAGTTGCCTGCTGACGCAGAGCACGAGTTCAAATGAAGTCTATGTCCTCGAAAGTCCGAGTGCATGACTCCTCCGCACACGAAAGTAAGGACCACCCCTGTTCTTCCAGTCAGCAAGATGCCAACCCAGCAGCTTCAACGACAACTCTCAGTTGACAGGGAGCAACTCGTGGGCAGAGCGGAGTAGGGGCAGGTGCCAGTTAACTAACCTTGCTATCCATAGCTCCGTGAATCAGCATCAGTGAACTGCAGCACGCTCGACATTTATGAGCTTGGCCCCTACGGACGACCTACCGGTAATTTCATGCACTAGGCCCCTTGCCCTTATTGACTGGTGGCCCATGCCATTCAGCTATAGAGAATTCTTGAGTTCTATTTCTCCTTTGATTCGTTTCAAATACAATAGCGCTTCCTTGACGTCGCTTGACGTCGTACTACATGTATGCCCACAGTGATGCAAATGCAATCACTAAGTACGAATTAGAGTGGTTTATGTACGGTACTACCAAAGTACTTCACCATTTCCCACCCTAGTCACAAAATTTTCAAACCAATGACACGAGGCCAAACGGGATTTTCCGAGAGGCCGGAGTGAGTTGCTTGACGTGGCAGAAATCTGCACTCTGATTGGCTGGTTGATGGATTCAGCCCCGGCTGCACCCGTGTGACATGGTGTTCGCCAGACTTCGGCGGTGTTCCGCGGAACGAGTGTGGTGAGATCGAAGATGGGCCCTTCAGACTTGGAAGCTCGCGTTTCAGGACGAGAATCCCTGGAATCGAGTGTTACGTCCAAGTCGCCCCCGTCCTCAAGCGGGTTGACCCTCGGGATGCCGAAAACGCCCCTGCGAATGTATTGCAGCTGGCGTCCCGCCTCGCTTCGATAGAGACCCACAAACTACCTCGCGCACCCGGAACAAGCTCAAAGCCTCGCAACACAAGTCGCGCCCGCTGGTCCCCTGGAACCGGATGCCGGAACCCAAGTGCTGCAGAATCAAGGATCCCTGAAACGCACCCTCGGATTCAAGCCTGAAACCAAGCGACGATGCCTGACCTGATTTGTACCCAGAAGTCACTGACTGAAGAGTGGGATGAAAAATCCAGTCTACTTCGAGGTCGGCGTATACAACCCCCCCCAAGCATACTCAAGTCAAGATATTCACGAAGATCGCACGCAAGGAACACGGAAGAACACAGAAGAACCCAGAAGAAGATAGCCTTTATATTGATCTTAGCGATAATCTAGCAGATAACAATCAGAGAGTTCGTTTTACCCCCTACTGCGCAAGTCGAGAGTCACTGCCAGCCAGGAATCGGGTCCGTCGGTCGCCAAGGACACGGTCGTCGCGGAGCTCCCCACCATCATCAAGTCCATCTGCGTGGGGATCTTTTGCTCGAGCGTCTGAAGTGATCCACGCATTCCATATCCTAGTTGGGCCCATTGCGTGTAGGTAAGGGTGGTGTCCCATTTCATGTTACTGATTGAGCTTGGGGAGATTTATTAGCGGTTGTCCCCTGAGTGTTTGACTTTGAGACTGCATTTGTGAGAGAGGATTGTATTGGATTGTGTATATTTCCCTCGTTAGAGGGTGGTGCGCGTTACGAGAGGCCCCAGAGTTGACCAGTACTCTGGAATCGGCCTAGTCGACTGGCGTAAGACCCACCGCCCAAGGGTCGAAGAATAAGTGGCGGCTGTTTGTTGTGTATAACTCTGTATTGTATTGGTTTATCGGAAGCTGGGTGTATTCTGGGATCTCCTCGTGGACCTACCAGCTTACTCATCTCGTTGCGCCTCCGGTCCCCTCGCCATTGAGTAGTGTGTTCAAGTGGACGTCACGCTCAACTGCTTAACTGCCTATTTGTATCGCCCTCGCACAAACCCGACGCGTCCAATCTGCGGTCGCGACGGGCAATTTCCCGGATCTTGAGTAGCGTATCTTCGAATATAGAGCCCAAGTCTTCGCAAGCTTCAGAGTTGGGGGGGGGGGAGGTTGAGTGGACGCTTGTTCCTTGTCTTAGGGCGTCGGTTGTTCCTTGGGCGTGCGGACTTATCGGGCCGGCGTTTCCTCGGAGATCCCGTCGGGCGTGCGGCGTTATCGGGCTGGCGTTTCTTGGGGCTTGTTGCGTGGCGTTATTGGGCCGACGCGGGGTCTTGTGCACAGCGGTTATCAGGCCGTGCGGTCCTTCGTCTAGGCTGCGCGTTATCGAGCGCCTCCTAACCGGTATACGTTTTACGTGCCTTCGTTTCCAGCACGGGGTTTGAGGGGGGGGGGGGGGGGTGAGTGCCCGAGCCAGCGAGCGACGGGGGACCGCGTGTTCCTTGCGGCTCTGCTTGCCGACGCTTGGTGGGTTTCAAGAACCTGGCGATCTTCCGGAGGGGAGAGGTCTGAGTCGTTCAGAGAAATTTCGGGACTGAGTCCTTACCCTATCCTATGTCCTTGCTACTGGCTACTCTGTACTACTGCTTGCTAAGTCTACCGCTCTGTACCTATCCTTACTTCTGTCGTGCTTGCACTACCGTCCTTCAACCTGATTTGTGTGGCGTAATCACAACTTGAGCTCGACGGGATTTTCTCGACGGGGTTTTCTCGACGGGGTTTAGGGTTGACGGGTTTTAGGGTCGACGGGGTTTGCACGACCGGGCGAATGAACCGGCTCGTCGAATCAGCCAGAATTAGCCTGATTCCACCGCCGGTATGCGTGTCACACAGCCCATCACCCCGTTAACATTTCTGGCCATTCCGACGCGTCGTATTCCATCCGACGCTCGTCGGCTGCCATCTTTCCCGGCACTTCCCGTCACTCGTTCTCTGGCGCGACATCTCGTGGGGTGCTATTCCACACGTGCCCGGATTTGGGGTCCTCGGATTTCACCGAGTTGTTTTTATTTGTAGGAATTGATTAGTTGGGCATCGTTAACTTCTAACCAGTGTTTATGGCGAGAGGACGAGGCAAACAAGATGGAGGGCGTGGTGATGGAAGTCGTGGTGAGGCGACGCGTCACTCGCGCCGCACGCAAGGACTGCTTGCGGAAGAGCACAAGGACCTGGATGTCATCAGCTGGGAGAATCGTGCGCGGAAGAAGGCAGAACGGGACGCCAAAGCGGCTGCAGAGCAAGAGCAGAAGACCACCGAGAATGCTGCCCAAGACGACCAAGTGTCGACGGAGGCGGCAGAATCGGCCCCAAGTTCAAGCTCCAAGCCTGGAGGTGTCGAAGAAGAGCAGGCTCAAAACCCTGAGTCTGCGCCGGCATCTGAGGGAGGCGCCAATGTGGGTGAGCCCCCGGCGGCGGATCGAGTTTCGGACTCTCCGCCGCCGGATCAAGATGTGGAAGTGCTCAAGGTAGTTCCAGCCAAGGTCAAGGTCGAAGTGATCGAGATCGAGGATTCGGAAGCCGAGGCGGAGTCAGCGCTTGAGGATCCGGATGCGTCTTCGCGCTCGCCGCAGAGTTCGTCAAACCCGCCCCCGTCATCGTCGCAGGATCAAGCCTCTGGATCCAAGGTGTTGCCCCAAGGTGATGCCTCGAACCCGGCTCCAGCACCTGAAGGCCAGAACGCGGTATTGCGTTCGAGCCCAAGTCCAAGTGCGAGCGAGGTCCAGCTTGATGAGACGGCGGCGAAGAACTTCGTGGCTCGACAAGTGTATCGCTGGGAGCTGATGCGTTCTGGACGCGTCGTTCCACCTTCGGTTGAGTACGCTTGGCCGACTCCGCGTCCAGACTTCACGGCCTGGCAAGAAGCTACCATGGTGACGTCGGAATACTTGCG